AATCATTGTTCCGCCATCCATTTATTCAACTTCGTCAGGCAGGTTATGCGTTGTTTTCTTCTGTCTCTTTTACCTTCAGTCATGTGAGTATCAAATTTTCCAAGCCCTCTTTCCTGATTATGTGCCCTACAAATTTCAACTGTCTCTTCCTGATGTTAAATATAAGTGTCCTTATTGCTGCTATTATCGCTAGAACTTCGCCGTTGCTAACATACTCAGCCCATGGTATTCTCAGTATCCTTCGGTAGAACGATATTTCTGTTGCTTCATGTCTCTTCTTCACAGTATATAAAGTCAGAGAAACCGAACTGTATCTAGCTGTCTATTAATGTGTGGGATATATTTTTATTTTTTATTTTTTTACAAAAATGATCATTGAGAAATGTCATGAAGATATTTCTAAACTTAGGTCTCTGGTTGGGACCCGGAAGAAAATGTGTATACAACAGAAATCAAAGGAAATTAAAAAAAAATAAAATAAAAATAATGCCTGTATTGTGAGTGATTAGTATTACCACTTCTTATAATCCTGCAAAACCGTGTTTCGACAATCTTAATTTCTTCACCAGTGTTCAGTTCCTTCAAACTTGGCTCTCTAGCTTGATTCTTCTGTACTAAATTTATGACACGATTCCGACCATTGCATAACACAACCACTTTCATCACAGACAATATAGAATTATCTTATTCATGTTATCATATTCATTAACAAGTATATAATCTGATGGCACTGCTAGACCCACAAGATCTAGCAGCATTTTGTCTGTAGGAAAAGGGGTTGCACGAGAGCAGACAATTCATCGCCCACAAGTCCGCGTTTGAATTCGAGCGTGAGCAGTGAGTGTTAGATAGTTCCAGCCTCGATGTGGTAGCAATACTCCATTTTTCGTCTCATCTTTTTTTTGTAAAACTAGAGTATGGCAAAAGGGGCCAGGTATTCCCTGGAGCGTTTTTAGCGATGAATATATAGACGACTTCCACTCGAGGTCGAATTTGTGCTTATCCCAATAGATGTTCCCTACAAGAAGCTTCATTGATTGTACAGTTGTCTATCATGACTCGAGTAAACTCAGAGCCAGCTTCAGTGAGATCGCAAGCGGAGTTCATATTCAACATAGATGATGAAGGCAGGACTAGTGTGCATGCTCAACACAAAGCCTCCGTTTCTCAGCTTCGGTTCAGCCAAAATTGATGTTCACACTACAATAGACGAAACGCTATGACGCTCAAGGAAGTTTTCACGAATATGAAAAGAAAAAGGCGCTTTTAATTTGAATCAGAAAGAGAGAGATTGTTGGACAATTTCCTCACAGATGAAGAGGAGACTTGAGTCAAGAGACATGTTACCAATTTTTATAGAATGATGCTCACTCTGTACAAGGCCCAAAAGCCAGTCGAGATGGAAGTTTCTAATGTAACAGGCACAGATTATAGGCATATGTGGAGAAGATAAGGATTACTGTAATTCCCATGTCTAATACGCATTTTTTCTAAAAATAATACGAAAAACAGGGGTTTGCCGTTTCATAGGTTGATTTCAGTTGCGAAATGACTACTCACCACAAACATACGACAATTTGACACTAACATTCGGCGATTGCGACCCCATAAGGATGTCATTTACAATCATATGTACCTAACAATACTTAAAAATATAAAATAAAATAATAATTATCTTGAAACTAAATTAGAATAATATTATTCAATGTTTGAAACCATTTTTTTAATAAGAATAGGAAATGCTGGCTGCAATGAAATCGGAGAGGTACAACTTATAGGGTTTGATTACCAAACAAGGGGTGCATATTATGCATGAGTAGAAGCATTTTCCCCACTTTCAGCACAATTTTAGGGGTGCGTATTATGGATGCAGGCGTATTATATATGGGGGAATTACGGTAATCCTAGATTTGAACAGGTTAACATACTTGTGATCTTTGGAGATATTTCCACAAAAAACAACAACAAAAGAATGCCAAGAATGCCATGGATGGAGCATGCGAGTAACGAGGATGCTTTAAGGAAAATAAGAAACAAAAAGGACACTATTTCTTAGGATCAGAAAGGGAGAGTTGACATTTCTGATGAAAATAATGAGGAAAGACGGCATGGTTAATTCGACACTCACAGGGCAGATTGAAGTTAAATGGCGAAAACAAGGAGTAACCAAACTAACAAGAATGGATGACAGAAAAAATATGGACAAATATTGCTTAGATCTTTTTTACAGCGAGGTTCAATCTTTACAAGGCCCGGGGCCACTCTAGGTAGAGTGTTACGTTTGCAAGCCATTTGTGTGTATAGGTGTGGAAGACAACGACCTCGTGCCTTAAACAGGTCAAGATTGTAGTGATTGGGGAAACATCCAGTTGTGGGTCGATTCCACAGGGAAGTGACTCCCTGTAACTTCTCACCGATAGGACATGGAGGAAATGCGGATTGTTTGCTATTATGTAAGTGGCATGGCGTGTTCTTGCTCTGAAGGTTTGCCACGGCGGGACCGACCAAGGAATGTAGTTCCACCGAGGACTTTCCGTGTAAGTAGAGGTAGAGCAGTGAGATCCTTGCCACATCCCGCCTGTGATCGAAGTCGCTTTTGAACTCTATCAAGGCCGGAGAATTCGGTCGAGGCAGCTTCCGTCCAAATAGGACAAAAGCATTCCATATTTTTGGCTCTGATGTGGCTCTTTTAAAGGTAGAGTATAGCAAGAGGAGTCAAGTACTTATTGGAGAATTAGAAAGAGCCAACCATTTTAACTGCATCGTTAGCAATGAATCTTATGTACGAGTTCTACTTGAGGTCGGGTGTGAGTTTGAGGCTCAAAAGTCTTTCGAGGTACAGTGTTTCCCCGTCAGGACCTCCGTTCATCAAGATTGGTACTAGTTCGGAGTCAGATTGGAGGTGATGGAATATATCTTGCTTAGTCTTCGAAGCATTTAATGTAACCAGCCAGTTTTACCACATTGAGTACTTTGTTCAAGATCGGAGAGCAGTTTCAATAAGTATTATAGGAAGTTGTGGAGAGCCATTATCAACCTACTTAATGACTTTGTTTATATAGATGACAGAAAAGGAACTGGGAGGGATATTAAGAGAACAAATATTGCTTAGAGCTAAGAAGGAAAAGGATGAGAGCCATTATCAACCTACCTAACGAGCTTGTTTACATCAATTTCAGAAAAGAACCGGGACAAATACTGCTTAGGTCTATAGTGGATAGGAAGTTGTGGAGAGCTATGATCAACCTATTTAAGGAGATTGTGTAAGATTAAAGGGAAATATTGCTTACAGCTATAAAGGGTTGGAGGAGGGATAATAATGGGATAAATAGTGTTTAAGGCTACAGTGGATAGGAAGTTGTGGAGAGCTATGATCAACCTACTGAAGGAGATTGTGTAATATTAAGGGGAAATATTGCCTAGAGCTACGAATAGTTGGAAGAGGGATAATAATGGGGCAAATACTACTTAGGTCTACAGTGGATAGGAAGTTGTGGAGAGCTATGATCAACCTACTTAAGGAAGTTATGTAAAATTTAGGAGAAATATTGCTTAAAGCTACGAAGGGTGGAAAGAGGGATTATAATGGGATAAATACTGCATAGAGCTACAGTGGATAGGAAGGTGTGGAGAGGTATGATCAACCTTGCAATATTAAGGGGAAATATTGCTTACAACTACGAAGGGTTGGAAGAAGGATATTGATAGGACAAAACCTGCTTAGGGCTACAGTAGATAGGAAGTTAGGGAGAGCCATGGTCAAACTACTTAACGAGTTTAAATGGAATACAGACAAGTAACTGGGAAGGGTAATAAGGGGTCAAATATTTCTTAGAGCTACAGTGGATAGGAAGTTGTGGAGAGCTATGTTCGCTAATGTATTTAAGAGACATGACATATAAAAGAAAAAAGATGTGTGCCCACAGAAAAACTCTTAATGGTTTCAAAAAGTCATAACTTGTTCGTTTTCAATTGTCTGCAAAACCTGCAAAAATGGGTGGGGGTTATTCCCCCACCCATTTTTACAGGTTATAGAGCATCTTTTGGAGATTAAAATGGCTACGTATGATGTCCTGCAAAGTGTAAAGCTCATTTGGTTTTTCTATTACAGTGAAAGATCAATTATACAAATTCAGAGAAAATACCGGAAACATTTTAATGTCAGAGTATCTCCTAGCGATAATGTGATTTACAATTTTAAGCTCCCAGTTTGAAAGAACTGGATCAGTCAGCGATCTTCCGGGAAGAACTCCTAAGCGCACTGTACGAACTGACACAGCACAGTCTCCTTGAGTCTCCATCAGCTTCTACTCGTCGTCGCTCTTCTCAACTAAGCATCGCCATAACATCTCTTCAAAGATTCTGAAACTGGATTTTAAAATGTTTCCATACAAGATTCAAATGTTCCAAACATTGCTACTCCAAGATACTCTCGTGTTTGTAAAAGTTATTTTTGTTTAATATCATTCAGTCTTTCAGTGGCTACCCTGTATTTTACAAATGTAGTGACAACTTAGATTTGTGTTGCTCTAGATTTCTAAGATTTTAAAAATGGAAAACAGATACTTGTACTTAGAATAAAAAAAGAAAAAGTTGAAATTTCTGGGACATATAATGAGAAAAAAGGCTTAAAGAATTTGACCCTCACAGTACATATTGAAGGCAACATTGGTAGAGGGATACTTCGAGTGAAATACCTAACGATTTACTTTAAATGAATAGCAGAACAGGGAACAGAGAGGTCGAAGAGAAACATTGCTACAAAAGATAGGAAGTTGTGAAGAGCCATTGAAGAAGTCTGACCTATTCTCTCTTGATAGCTGGTCTGTTCCCCCTTTTTATGGTCTAATCCAGTGTTTCTCAACCGGTGAGCCCAAGCGCAATAATGCGCTCTGAAAAAAAATCTTGAGAAACCAAACATATGTCTTCCATGTCTAAGTTAAGTCATTTACAATGCTTGCTTTTTGCACCTGTGTTTGAACCTTTTTTGCGCCTGCGATATGCAACTAACTGAAGTGCATAATGACAAAGATATTTACAAAGGTTGGCTAAGTTTTAAACAAGGTTATTTTTTCCTTTCATCTTTTCCTTTCATATTTCGTTTATTTTTGTTTTTTCCTTCTTTTGTGATTCTTCTTTCCTATTTTACACAATTCTTCTTTTTCCTTCTTTTTCATTCTCTTTTCTTTCATTTTCCCACATATTTTGCATTTAATTTCCTCTTTTTTTGTCATCTTTTCTTTCTTACCCGCCTTTTGTTTCATCTTTTCTCTATTTCCCGCCTTTTTTGTCATCTTTTCTTTTTTTTTTTACCCGTCCTTTTTTGTCACGATTTCTTTATTTCCCGTCTTTTTTGTCACTATTTCTTTATTTCCCGCCTTTATCTTTCAGTTTTGCCGGTTTCCTTTTCTTCTTTTTACGTTTTTTTCTTTTCCATTTCTCTTTTTTACTTTATTTGGCGTTTCTCTATTCCCGCCATTTTTTGTCTTTCTTCGCAATCCCTCTATCGTAATTCTTCTTTTACTTGTTATTTTTTCCTATTTTCTTCACTTTTGCCTTTGTTCTATTCCTTTTTCTTCTTTTTTTCTTTTTTCTCTTTCTTCTTTGAACTTTTTTTTTTATCTTTCTCGATTTTCTATTACGCCATTTATCTTTTTCCCTCTACTTTTGACTTTTCTCCTTTTCCTCTTCTTTTTCCTACTTTTTCATCTTCCTTTTTTACTTCTTGCTTTTCTTTCTTATTTTCTACACTTTTTTGTATTTATTTTTACTTCTTTTTGAATTTTTCATATTTCCTTCTTCCGTGTTAATTCTTTTCCCATCCTTTTACGCATTCTTCTTCTTCCTTCTTCTTCGTCTTTCTTCTTCTTCTTCTTCTTTTTCTTCTTCTTCCCATCTTTGGACTTTCTTATCATTTTTGCCCGCCATCTTCATCTTTTATTTCTTTTTCATCCCTTTAATTTTCTCCTTCTTATTGGTTTCTTCGCCATTTTTTTCTTTTTCTACTACTATTACTACTACTACTACTACTACTACTACCACTACTACTACTCTACATCTAACAATTTCACTTTCTTTTTTTTTCTATCAAATTTTAAAATTTTGATTCCCATTCTTCTTTCGATTCTATTTCGATTATTCCTCCTACAATTATTATTAATAATAATAATAATAATAATAATAATAATAATAATAGTACTAGCAGTAGTAGTAGTAACTTTCTCACTTTATTTTCTTCCTGTTACAATATTATCCTATTTTCAGGGCATCAGATTTACCCCTCCCTCCGCATTACACCCCCCTTTTCCTACATTCTCTTTCTCCCTTCTCTCAATTCCAACTCTATTTTTCACCCCCAACTCATACCCCTTCAAAAATGTTCTCTTCCAGAACCCAATTCTCTCAAAGAAAACATTCCGATCTATATTAGTCATAGAACTCTGCAGTCACTGGCCACCGGCTCCGTTTCGCATGTGTCGAATGTGAGCGTGTGTCTGTATTCGCACAACTCTCTCACTCTGTGTGTGTGTGTGTGTGTGTGTGTGTGTGTGTGTGTGTGTGTGTGTGTGCAATGAAAAGGAGGGACCTACATAATTACGGAATGGTACTTCCATTCTTGGGTCTTTCATCCGTGACCACCTTTTACCATGACTCATCAGTTTAACAACGACACGACGGATTGTTTTCGTTGCCAAAAAAGCGCGGGCAAACGTTTCCAACACAAGGCTGACCGAAATTCAAAATCTGCTTGCAAGGGTTTATTACTTGTAGAAGGGGATCAACTCACTCCTGGAATTTTTGATTGTTCTATTCAAAGCTTTACGCTTAAATGACGTTCACCTTATAAAACTATCTGCTGAATTTCCCACCTCTTCTCCCATTCGTAATTACTTATATTATCTTTGGAAAAATTGGTAACAAAAAAAAAAAATTAAACACACACACACACACACACACACACACACACACACACACACACACACACACAGAGACACACACAGACATATATATATATATATATATATATATTACTAAGAACTAATAATATTCAGCTGATTATTGATGCATATATTTAATTCTAGGATCATCAGTGGATTAATGTGTCAAACAAAACCAGGGTGAGTGATTTGTTTTTTACGGTTTATCACCTCTTTGTGTGAAGCCGAAGTATGTTTTGAATTATGAAAATAATTATTTTTCCTGCGAATGAATATTACACTTTAAACTTTTGGGGAATAACAATGATATTTACAGATTCAGATCCTACTATTTAACCCACAGCTTCGGGGAGGAGAGAAATTCATACCTTTCCCAAGTGTATTTGAGCATAAGCGAATGTAATGAATCCCACCGGAATTCGAACCGGGCTCTCGGAAATCACAATTTGTTCATATCTATCTATCTATCTATCTATCTATCTATCTATCTATCTATCTATCTATCTCTATACACACAAGATATATTTATACACATATATAAATATATGGATGGAAATATATA